GAGGTTTTTTACACTTCAAAATCTTATAGAGGTTTTTTTCATGCTATGCTATCTTAATTTTTCTAGTGTATATGAAAGGAATTTCAGGTTGAAGCACATTTATATTGGCCTCAAGATGAAATGTTAGAGTTTTGTGAAACGAATAGGATTACTTTAACTGCATTTGCTCCATTAGGATCACCAAACAGAAAAACTTGCGATCCGTCTACATATTGGCCCGAAGGCGAGCCTCTGAAAGACAGTTGTGTGCTCGAACTTTCAGAGAAGTACAAGAAGAGTGCTGCCCAAGTTAGTTGGTGGTTTGCTTAATAAAGACTGAAAATGAGCTTTTCGTTTATTACTTTTATAGTTTACTTCTGCATTTTTACAAAATTTGCGTCAAAGAAGTAGACCTAAATAGGAAAAGTTTCTTTATTTGACCGGATGCTAGGGATAGGCAGAGCTGCCAAGGCTACTGCCAATCAGTTTGATTTTAAATAGTTGGAAACGGATATTAGTTTAAACTCTCAATTTATTTTATTTTAAAATAATTAGAGCTTTTTTTGGAACACTTTTTGATTTTGGTTTAACGTGGAGGGAACTTATATAAATCATAGTAAAATAAAGAGTAATCTTCAAGCTTCTCTTTTTTTCCACTACTGTTTTTTTGATACATCGACCTTTGGGTGTACTTACGTAATGTTCACTTTTGCTCAGATTTTGTTGCGCTATCTTATTCAACGTGGAATCATCGTAATTCCCAAAAGTACAAATCCCGATCGGCTGAAGGAAAACTTTAACATTTTTGATTTTAAAATAAGTGACGAGGATATGAATAAACTAAAAAATGTCCCTACTCGGCAGCGGCTTTTCGTCTTTGGATGGTTACTATTTATTTTACTGTATAAAACAAGTTTTTAGTTTGTAATAGAATTAATTTAACGCAAATAATTGAAAGGTAATGCACTATTGGACTGAAAGTGAAAACTCTTAGGTTTTTCAAAAGTCGTTACTTTCCGTTTGACGACGTTGATAGGATTAAAGTAAGAAGGTTGATGGGTGAAGAGATACCAGAAGAAGAGTTAAAGAAGCAAGAAGAAGGAAATAAAACAGAGGAGGAATCGGACGTCTCCACCGACGAGAAAAGAAAACCATAGAAATCTTTTACTGCTAAATTATTTGTAGTCAAGTTTTTGAAACATTCCTTCTCAGATCTAACAAGATATATGTGTTGTTGATTTTTTCAGACAGCTGTTATAAAATTTTTCAACCTGTTATTCTTCTTTTGAAGAAAATTACTTTATTTTCGCTGTATCTGTAAAACATTAGGAATTCTCAATTTAAACTTATCGGTTTTCGCTTTTAGTAAACCCTGATTCAGCAGTTTTTTATTCATGATATTTTGCATAAAATTCGTTATCTTCTAAAAAAGGTTGGTTTCTAAAATTTTTTCGTTCTCGACTTTCTATTTTTTAATTTATTTTTCGAACCTGAAGATAAGTGGTTTGTAGAACGAGAGTAAAAAAGGTATTTGAGGACGAATGCTCGGCTGTTTGAATATTCCTTGCTCAAAACTGAATTTAAAGCAATAACAAACAGCAAGTGGAAGCCTTTCTAGAAATGATACGAGTTGTGTTGATGTGGTACTTTCTGGTTATGGCAAGTAAGATGGATGGTTTTGAAAACTGGTGGTGATTTTCTAACAAGATGTCAGACTATTTTCTAGTGACTCGCAAATCTGAATAAGTCTTGTTATAATAACCTTAGCATATTTTCTGCATAAGAATTCTCTCGTATATGTCTGATATATTCACTGCTCTTAAAGGCCTTTTTTCTTTGCTTTCAAGCTTCTGACGCAGTTACTGGTATCGTTTGATTTTGGTTCCTTAGTTTTTGTTGTCTTTTCTTGTAGACTCACCTCAAAATTTCAGAAGGACGGATTTGGTAGTTTGCTTGAGTAAGATTACACTTGTGGTGTAGCTTATTAATAATCATTTGTAAAAAGATTAACTGGTGAAACGAATTTTATCAATGAGTCATTTAAAGCGCTTTTTTTAAGCTAATCTTTTCACGTGCATCTACTAATTTTATTTTTAATGTTGACCTTTCAACTGTGCTGCGGCATAAGGAGAACCCAACTGAAACTGATAGCCTTGCGTTTTTTAATGTGAACTTGGAGGAATCATTGTCGGAAATTTCAACATGCAATAACTGCAGTTTAGATTACAGCAATGTAGGAATCGTCTCCTGCACTTTTAATGCGAATTGTAGAGCTTTCCCAGCAGGAGTGCGCCTTTCAAATCATGGTATGTCTTGTAAAGCAACGAGAGCGAGAAGCCACTGCTTTTGGGCATTTTTGGGACAGAAAAAGGTCGAACTCTGCACTCTTATATGTATCAGTATCAATTATATTACTCATGTGATAGTTATAGTATCTGTGTGGCCCTAATCCTTATCAGAATAGGGGTCTAGCATATTGCCAAAACCATTAAAAAATTCTACTCGGTTTGTATCTACTGAACTGAGAGTATTATGAAAATCCTATGAAAAGCCATATTTTCTTAAAAGCAGCTTGAAGGGAAATCTGGTAACTCAGTTCATTATCTAAATGTGATAGATCAGTTGAAGTCTAACAAAGTAAAGTCGAACTTAAAGAAGGCGCAGTAATGAAGTGACATTGCAGGTGAAAAGAACTTTTGCAGAAACTCTTGGAAAAATAAAGTCACAAATTGGGCACAGATTTAGGCTGAATTGTTTTTAAATGTGTATCAAAAATTTAGTCAAATGCTCTCTGTTTGAAAGAGAAGGTAGAAGGGCCCGGAATGGTTGTTTAGGTGGACACAGCTGTTTTTTGTGATAAGGAATATATGTTACTAGAGTATCTCCGCAAGTGTGTATTGTAAGTGGCATGTTTAGAAAAAAAATAAAGGTTTTCTTAGAGGAGTTCTCAACAGAATCGTTGCGACACTGGCCTGAGTGATTTCTGAAAATATAAATTTCAATGGTACCAAAAGGACACGACTCCGTTTGCTCTTAGAGTCTAGGTTTTAGCCACAATACTGTGAGCCGCAAATACAGTTTTGTGAAGGCAATTAGCGGACGTCACATGCAGAAAATCATGAGCATCTGGAGAGGAGCAAGCTGGAGTAACAGAAAGCGTTGGCGGGTTATTAGAAAATCGGTGAAAAAGTATGTAAAAATTTATCTGGCAGCAATTAAATTTAGAAGGGACCTGATAGAAAAAAGTGTATGTGATAATGGAGATCATTATTATAAAGAAATTTACAATTAAATTCTTGTATAAGTGAAAAACAATTTGATTGTTACGAGATGAGCCGATACGATTAGATTTTATTATTATTCTAGGTATTGCATAGGAAGAAACATCCATTGAATTTGTAGTGACTCACAAAAGCAGAATGGCTTCTTCTGGCTCTGCTTCTTTCTTTGTACACGTTAAGTATGATCGTTTGTGGGGTTTTGATGAGGGAATATCAACTGCTGTATGTTCGAAGAGAAAAACAACCAGAATTGTTAAATTTATTTGGTTTTTAATCATAAGGTGGTCGAGTAAAGGAGGAAATATATTGATTTACAAATAATTGGTTTGCCAGATTTTACTGGCTGGTAGCTTTGAGATGTACCGTGGTATTTTATGCAACCTTTTTCAAATAAATGACTTCGCTGACTAAACCCTTTTTGGTGAAAACTAATTTTTTAAGAGGATTAAAAGGACTAAAAAACAAGCACATTCTTTCTTATTATATTATAATTGTTTAGCTGTTGTTTCAAAACTTCCAAAATCATACTGAATCACTTTAAAAGGAAAACGCTGTTTTTTTAATGTTCACCATCCCGTGGTTGTTTGTATATAGCGGAATTGGTGGTAAACAGTTTCCCACATTCGGCGCTTTTAATTACGATGTTGTAATGTATCAAATGCATTTTAGAATGACTAGGGGATTATGAAGACTTGTGAAGTTCTTGTATTCTTTCAAAAAAAAAAAAACAAGTGATTTTTGGAGATTATGAATACACATGGTTTCTCAAAATTTTAACGTATATTTATTTTAGAGTTTGAGACCGTCCTTCATAAAATGTACATTTAACTGCTTTTAAGGCATGTTTCAAAAGTTAGTCAACCAATGTAGCTTTAATGATTTTTTCAAAACAATCTTCACAATATTAGTGGCAACTTTTTTGGAAGACGAATAAGAGTACTTTCCAATTCAACAGTGAGAATATAACTTCGTTCAACGGTAAAAGACAAAACGAATTATCTACCACCTGTACGAGCTGGGCAAGGGCAGTAGGAACCGTCGCTACCGGGTTTACCTGGAACGCCTGGAGCGCCTGGTCGTCCATCAGATCCTGGAGAGCCAGCTGGACCTTCCGGACCTTGCTC